GATCTCAATCCTCCAAGATACCAAGCCATGATGTTCTTAGGCTCCACTAGCTCATATTAATACATAAGGCGCTCAAACAAAATGATGTACTTCTATTTTGAAAGATTCTTCTGTTAAATATGATGAAGTCTTAAGAACACATCTTATTTGTAATGTACTAACAAGTACTTGTGTTGTATCTCTTTTTTCATCTTGGATCAATTTGTAATCTTTTCTCCTCACAATGACACAAGCACTTCAGATTCTGCAAGCACAAGAAATAACTTTTCTTTAATTTGATAGAAGTAAACTTCACTCTCCCAACAAGTAGCACGTTCTTATACTCGAAGACATGTTCCACGTTCTAAAATCACTCAATAAACTTATTTGGATTCATACGGATGTTAAAATATGACAAATCAAACCTCACACCAAAGTCACCATCGTTTCTCCCATACTCAATCGAATTAATGCGGGATAAACTGTTCATTGCTAGAAGCTTCTTGGTGAAAAATATTATAATCTTTTCCTCTTAAGTGGTCACCTTTATTATGGTGGATGACTTCCTCATGTTTCCTCTTTTCAAAATCAATGAGAATCAATTGAAATTGAAGGATTTATGGCCGCATATCCACCATAGTAAGCTTTTGAAAACCATATTGAGGATTTCTACTTGGCGGCATAGTGCCATGTTTCTCGTTTTAGGGTTTGGGTGATATATGATTGTGGATCAAGTGATGACCAAGAGTTTAGATTTATATGGTAGTTTCGTTTTTTGTTGGAGGTGGAAATGATAGCTTTTGAAAATATAGATTTGGGGCTAAAGAATTGGTTTAAATGTAAAAACTTAGAGAATTGAGAAAAATATTAAACGGCCTACAGAGAGTCTAAAAGAATAATCTGTGACACCAAAAATTCTGCTTTTAATGATTTTTATAATAGATTATATACTAAGGATAGTGAAAAATATACGTATAAACTAGCAAAACAAAGAGAAAAAAATAGTAATGATTTAACACAAGTAAAGTATATTAAAGATGAAAATCAAAAAGTATTTTTCTTAGAAAAAAATATTCAACATAGGTGGGTGAGTTATTTTGATAAACTCTTTCATAAAGTTTCTGAAAATACAATCGCTCTTAGTGATCTTAATATCGTTAATAATAGTAAAACGTTTCATTTTTACCATCGCATTAGTAAAAAAAAAGTTGATGAGGCTTTAGAGAAAACCAAGGGTGGAAAGTCTGTAAGAGCTGATGATATCTCAATTGAAGTGCAAATGCCTCATTTTAAGAAGAAAGGGAGTTTCTTGGCTTACTAAACTCTTTAATATTATTTTAAAAACTAAAAAGATGACTGAGGAGTGGAGGAAGAGTATTTTTGTCTCCATTTTAAGAAGAAAGGGAATGCACGATAGTCTGCAAATTATAGAGGAATTAAGTTGATGTGTCATACTTTAAAATTATGAGAGAGGGTAATTGAACATAGGTTAAGATGTATTACAAACATTTCTCATAATCAATTTGGATTTATGTTGGGCAAGTCTACTATGGAAGCTATACATTTATTGAGAGGTTTGATGGAGACGTTCAGAGATAATAAGGAGAATCTACATTTAATTTTTATTGATTTAGAAAAAACTTACGATAAGGTTCCAAAAGAAATCCTTTGGAGAGTTCTTGAGAAGAAAGGTGTTGATATGACTTATATTGAATTCATTAAAGATATGTATACTAGAGCTGTTACTTGTGTTCGGACTGAACGATGATTGACTAAATATTTTACTATTTCTATTGGATTACATCAGGGATCGGCTTTAAGCCCATATCTTTTCGCTTTAGTTATGGATGGTCTTACTGGACATTTACATGAGGATGTATCTTGGTGTATGCTTTTCGCTGATAATATCTTTCTCGTGAATAAGACGAGAGAAAACTTGGATTATGGAGGTCAACATTGGAGTCTAAAGGCCTTCATTTTAAGTAGAACTAAAATTGAATACATGGAATGTAATTTGAGTATTAATAGCTCTAGCGACATAAGGGTAACTTTGGGTGATCAAATTATTAAAAGGTGTGAACAATTTAGATATCTTAGGTCTATTGTTCAAAGCTATTGTTCAAAGCGATGAGATGCTAATAGTAGAATTCAAGTTGGTTGGTTGAAGTTGAGACCGTTAGTTGGTTGGTTGAAGTTGGTTGGTTGAAGTGGAGGAATGCTTCGGGCCTTTTGTGTGATAGAAAAGTACCACTTGGATTGAAAAAAAAAATTTATAAGACGATGGTGAGACCTGCAATGCTCTATGGCGTTGAATGTTGGCCTTTAAAAGAGAAGCATAATACTAAGTTAAGTGTTGCCGAGATGAGGATGATTAGGTGAATGAGTGGCTTTAAATTTAGAGACAAAATGTGAAATGAATATATCCGTGTTAGGTTTGGTATAGCTCCTGTGTTGAACAAAAATTAAAGAAAGTCGTCTTAGATGGTTTGGTCACATTAAACGTCGACTACCTGATGATCTGATTAGGAGAGTAGATGTTATGTTTTAGATTCGACTTATGTTTAGAAAGGCAGAGGTAGACCTAGGAAGACTTAGGCTTATTTTATAAAAAAAATCTTAATTTATTAGAACTAAATGAAAATATGACACTAAATAGGACGCAATGGAGAAATATGATTCATGTAGCCGACCCCACCTAGTGGGATTAAGGCTTTGTTCTAGTGGGATTAGGCTTTGTTGTTGTTGTTGTTGTTTTTGCAGGGCTAAAAAACATAAATCCCTAAAATTTACAGCTTGGTAGACTTGGATATCAAATGACACCAATCAAGGTAGGACAATATTAGGGTAGGTAATAGAGGAGAGAAGAGTGATAACGGCAAAGTCCGACACAACCAACGGCTAGACAACAAGCCATGTACTAGAAACAACAAGTTTATGCCATCAAACAACATATTGCAGCAAATTTGAAGAGGAAGGCTTTCAAAAGTCTGAAAGAGGTCACAATCTAGATCCAATCGGGTTACAAGCACACCACTCAAGGGAAATCAAATGATACAACAATCCAATAGGAAAATCAGAGAGAAAAAAATCTCCAAATGACATAAAACAAGAAAAAGTCTCAAAAACTCGAAAATAAAAAGATTTAAAGTCCCCCAGCAGGATAAAAATTTCTAATTCTAATTAATATAATATAAACATTGAGACCACTATAATCTAGCGACAGTGAACTAGTTGGAAAGCCCCAGTACAACAACGTGCAAGTGGGAAGAACTTTGCTCCGCGTCATGCATGTTACCTCCACTTCTCCGATAAAAAAACCTCTTATAGATCCTTAGATATAAGGAATGTTGATATTCAACTCACCACTATTCCTCCATTGCATTAGATCTCTTAAAATAAGAAGAAAAATTCTTTTAAATTTTTTCCTTCATATAGAAATCGCTTGTAGCACCTTGAAAGCTACAAAACCGAACAACTTAAAATTTTGTCTCTTTTTTAAGAGGTGTAAACTCTCTCTTTCAACTCTAGGTTTCCACCTTTTGTGTCTCCTACAAAGGAAAGAAACTCGCCTTCACAAATCCCTTATCCATTCATCTACTTGATACCTCCTTGTCTTATGTTGTGTTACCTATCACACTAAGTCAAGTTTTCATCGTTCACATTTTGTTCTCCTATTGAGTACATGAAGCTAGAGAGAATACTGAGATGTAAAAACTCTACCAAATGTCTTTCAAGCCTTTCAATTGCCCATCATTTGGTAACCACAAAACCTATTTATGTTAATCCATATCAACAAGTTCTCTAGTAAGATCAACTATTTGATGAAGCTTATGGTGTTCATCATTACCATCAAGTCGTTTGCCATTCTACCCTTGATGTGTAGACCACCTTTAGCCTCTTTGCACGTTGTGGCATTCAGAAAAGCCTCCATCTAAGAAGAGAAACGTTGGATCAATATACCATAGAGGATGAAAAATAGTTGCATTTTGATTGGGTTGACAGAGGTTCATGATAACCCAGGATGAAGAAACATTTGTATCATGGTTGGCCTCATCGTCATCCTTTCAACATCAACTCGAAGATAATTATAGTATACATACTAAATCAACTAATAGCTACTAAGAAGAAATTATTATAGAGACTATCGACTAGCTTAAATTGTAAGTACTCTCTTTTGATCACAAGAAGTATTAAATTATAGGGCTGTACACTTATGAGAGAGCTTTAAACTAGATCATGAAGCCTTAGTTAGGATAGGTCAAGGATGGGTCTCTCAAATAGTCTCTTATTTGATATCTGATCTGATTTTTAAAAACTAACCTGATCTAAAAACTGTTCTGAAACAATTCAGAAATAACAAAGTTTGGTGGCAATTTTTGGAGCACGCAACTTCTTGCAAGTTTATAACATTGTCTTTTTTCTAGAGCATGTTTTGGAGGATGGGGATGAATAGGGAAGATTTTAGGTTACACTTCTACTAAATTGCACTATGCAAGAGCATCAAAGCTCCAGGTGGGTATCTAAGCAGTAGCCACATGCAGCAAATCTAAATGCAAAAGGGCTTTCAGAATTTCACAAAGAAAAAAAAAAAAAAAAAGAGAGTAAATGTACGGCATTTATTCTGAATAATAAAAAAATATTTTGTAAATATACGAAGGCACGTTACTCATAAAATATTATTCATTTTCACCATAAAGCTTTAATCCAACTACATAAACTATCCTGACCTTTTCTTTTATTTACTTATTTATCATTACATTTTTTCTTATAAAAGATTCCAGAGGTATGTAAGCTTTTAATAACTACAACTCATGATCTTCATTCATTATTAGTTAATCATAGTAATTAAAAACCTATCATGCATACATTAGCAATTTAATGAAATAAGTGACAAAAAAAATACAACTTTATATAAATAAATATTAAAAGGTTTTGAATGCCACACCCTATTAGGCATCAAATAGGATAAAAGAAATTACCTTAACAATTACAAAAGTTTCAAGTAGAATAAAAGAAATTACCTTAACAATTAAAACTGCGAAGGATGCTGGAATGAAAGAGAAAGCCATGCTCACAATTATTGATGCGGAGAAGGCGTCAAGATCCTACAAAATTTTCAAATGTATCAAACCCAGACGCTTCAAGCAAATGGTATAGTTCAAGAGCACTAAACAATAGCTAATGAAATTAATAAACATAAAAAGCACATGAAAAAAAAATACTGATGGATCAAAATTCCCACAAACATGCAAAAGATGATTATTGAATCCAAACACAATCAGCCCCAATATAAAAATTTATAAAAAAAATCACAAAAGCAGAAAAAAATTATTATTAAATATATTTAATGATTCAAATAAATCATCTTGTATCTTTTATAAAACATAAAACAACTTCACAGATCTTGTCTTACAATCATTACTTTTGGATAACGATCACAATAAATCTCAGGACAACTTGAAAACACGAGTAAAAACCATCATATGATAAGGCGAATGAGCACTTCATAAGAAAACTCTAACAGGTAATGAAATGCAAGACTTCAACAACATCAGCAACAGTAACATCAACAACAACAAGTCTTTCATCAACTGATTGGGGTTGACTACATGAATCCTTTTTCACCATTGTGTCATATTGACTATCATATTTTCGTTTAATTCTACTAAATTAAGATCATTTTTTAAACAACAAGCCCAAGTTTTTTGAGGTTTACCTCTACCTTAACATAAATAGAGTTTAAAACATCTACCCTCCTAACTGGATCATCAAATGGTCAACATTTAAGGTGACAAAACTATGTAAGACGGCTTTCTCAAATATTGTCTGCAACTGGAGCTATACCAACACTTTCACGAATACATTCATTTCACGTTTTCTCAATAAGTGTCAAGCCACTCATCCACCTAAGCATTCCCATCTTAGCAACACTTAACTTAGTTTAATGCATCTCTTCTATAGGCCAACCTTCTGCGCCATAAAGCAATTAATTCTCACCACCATCTCATAAAATTTCCCTTCAAGTCTATCCGGTACTTTTCTATCACACAATAGACCCAAAAAATTCCTCCACTTCAACCATCCAACTTGAATTCTACTAATAACATTCTCATTTATATCACCATGATTTTGCACAAAGTCCGAAGATATCTAAATTGTTTACTCCTAAGAATTTGATCACCCATTATTATAACTCTGTCACTAGAGCTACTACTACTAAAATTATATTTCATGTATTCAATTTTAGATCTATTCAAACGAAGTCCTTTTTCCATAATTCAAGTTTTTCCTAACTCTTTCTCTAGTCTTAGCCACAAAAAGGAAAACATTGGCAAAAAGCAACATGGAAGAATGCAAACTAGCAAATAATGAAAGGAAAGCTAATAGGAACATTTAATGTTAACTCAGTCTACGTGCACAAACATGAAATATAATTATGATAAGCCCTTCACCAAAAGATTAGAAATTTATTGCTCCGATTCAACCTTCACAGTACATGAAAACGCAGTCTACCAGCTGGTTTGCCTTGACTGGTTCAGCCAAGAAAACGCAAAGTCCAACCGGCTCTTAATTTAGGGGCTAGGGATGTGTCCAAAGGGAGGGCACCCTCCTTCTAGTTATGTACTATTTTTATTTGTATTTTCTATTTTAAGATTTGTTTTTGGAGAGATTTCTATTTAGATAGCCTTCGACATCCCATTTTCCCTTCCTAAGGTTGTATACGAGGACATGTGATACTCCAGCTATATCCTACTCTGAGGTCGTGATTATCTCCATATATTTCCTGGCTACTTCCACCAACTTGCTCGCTGCCAGCATTCCTTCGTCCCTCCCCTGCTTGTTGATGCCCAGACTGCGCAACATAGCAACTGCTACTGCCCTAAGCACTCCCCCATAGCTTTACCTATTGTCCAGCCGCACACCTACATTCTTATTGCTACTGCCAGCCAATTCCCCTCACCTACAACTCCCCGATTCCACCACCTTAACCTGCAACCCACCACCTTCATCCCTTTCCTAGGGTGTCACTTTTGTCGTTTTGTTTTTGTTTTGAAGAATCTTTGCTTGAAACAATTTTGAATTCAATAACAAAATTTATTTTCTGATTGTTGTTTGGGTTAACTCCAAAATCAATTCGTATCTGAACAAGTGCACCATTGCAGCTACTGCTGCCCTCAACTTTTCCTCCAAACGTGTTGCCGCCACTCTCCCACAACCCTACATGTTGTCCAACCGCACAACTACATCCTTTTTACTACTGTCAACCCTCTCCCCCCACCTACAACTTTCCGATTCCACCACCTCAACTTGCAGCCCACCACTTTCATCCTCGTTCTAGGGTGTCACTCGTGTTTTATGCCGTTTTCTTTTTGTATTTAAGAGTCTTTACTTATAACCCTTTTGAATTCAAAAATAATATTTGTCTTCTACTAACTCTGAAACTCTGATATTTAGATCTTTTGAAGAAGTGGTACAACACCTCTCTTCTATTGGGAAGGAGTATATCCCGCTGGCCAGCATATTCTGCCATACAGTTCACCAATGTTGGAGGGGGGGGGGGTAATGCAAAGAAACATGGGTGACCTTTTGCTACAACTCCCGTGATGGCTGCGACTGTTCTTGAAACTCTTACCAATAGTCACTCTTTTCCCATCCCGGAGCACTAGGACACTAGCCAGTCTCAACAACTGTCTCACCTCGTTTCTGGTGCCCCCCCACCCCTCCGGGTTGGCTAAAAGCTAATATTGATGGAGGATTCCTACCAAACCAACTGGCTAGCATGCGGGCTATCTAGCGGAATGAGATGGGGGAGGTCCTTGTCGCACGCAGTGAGCAACTGGTGCATTGGGAGAGCGGACGGGTGGAATTTGAGGCTATCTTGATGGGCAATGCATGCTCCAACTGTCAAGGGAATGGTTTTTGAGGGTGACATATTAATGTCATCCAGTTCCTACAACAAATGATGGTGCAAAAAAACTAGAGGATATTACCAAGTTTCTATGAGGCATTTTCCTTTATTACTTTTTCTCAACATGTTCTTTCTTAAATTTATACCTCGTGAGCTCAATCGGGCTGCCCATGTTTGTGCCCAAAGGGCTCTTTTGCATAGTTATTCCAATGATAATGTCCCTGAATCGTCAGAGTTTTTTACTATTCTCCACGATGACAGAGCCCCTTTTGCATTCGTCTGATGACTTGTTTTTTGTACCATTTTGTACTACTTTTTTATAGTTAATGCAATATGAAATATTTAAGGAATCAATTGGTATCAGAAATATCTTAGCCCTTGTCCTATCTTAGGGTTTCCTAACATCTACCATATTCAAACCATCTGTACAAAAAATTATTCTTTTCTACCATCAAATCACCTTTTCACTACTACAAATGCCAAACCCTAATTATGCCACCAAGAAGATACATGCCCGAGTCTATCTGAGAAGAGATACATCGCGAACACCAACTTCTTTAACAGAGGCTTGCAGAGATTGATGATGGAACCCAAAGGGTAGTTAACATCAATCGTCGTATGAAGAGGTGAAGGGAGAAAGGGACGAGGATCTGAATCTCTTCAATAAGGATGACTTTAGTGATGAGGAAGATAGACACTGACGCTATAGAATTCATTATCAGAGAAAGTCAAGAGAGAAGGGTACTTAAAGAGGACACATTAATTTCCCATCAAAGTGGATTTGCTGGAGTTTGATAGAAGTATGGATGCAAACAACTTTATCGATCGGCTAAAGTCAATTGAGAGGACCTTCAAGTACAAAAAAGGTGTCAGAAGACAAATTGCGACCATCAAAGTGAGGAAGAGCGCCTCATTGTGATAGGAAAATATGCAAAGATAAAGAAAGAGAGAAGACAATGATAAGATTACTAGACAAAAGAAGATAAGGAAGAATATGTAGATGAAATACTACCTCCTCACTACCTCCACGACATGTTTCTAAAACTCCACCACCTACAACAGAGAGATCTATGAGTGGAAGAAATCGCTGGACTAATTGCAGATGGAGTGTGAGTTGGTCAAGCAAGAGACATTCCATAGCCCGATATCTGGGGGTTTGAAGCCTCCTATTAGCAACGTTATTCAGCTGTAGCCCTATTGATCACTGGGAGATGTCCATACCTTAGACATGAAGGTAGAGATACAACAGAAACAAAGCAGGCGTCCACCACTATTTAGGCAACCACTCACAGTTGGAGACATCAACAGGAGCATGCCTTAAAGAGTTGAGAAACTGAGTCAGAATAATAACAAAACTACTCAGAGCGAGAAGAAGCCTGAGAAGAGCAGTATGCCTACAACAGTCCCGACCCAAAAGTGTTGTGGATGCCATGGATTTGGACACATCACCTCTAGTTGTCTGACGAGTCGAGTTGTACCTTTTACCGAGCAGGGTGCCATGAAGGAGCTTAGCAACAAGGAGAAATAAGAGGAATAAGGTAAGTTGTTATCATTTTCCACCGGATGAGTGTGATATGCTCTTGGATCCAAGGTTCTATAGACTAAGCATATTAAGGATTTGCAATGGTTTTGCCACAACATATTTTACACCCGTTGCACGGTGAACAGAAATGTATGCGGTCTCATTATCGATGGAGGGGGCAACAAGAACGTAGCGTCTAAACAGATGGTGTAGAAGTTGAGCCTCATGACTCAGAAGCAATTCCAACCATATTCTCTGATGTGGATGAAAAAGAACAGGCTCAGCATTAAGTGAAGGTGCCTTGTGGAGTTTTCAATTGGGAGTCAAATGCATGATCAGTTGTGGTGTGGCGTGGTGCCCATGGATGCCAGCCACATGTTGTTAGGGAGACCACGGCGATTTGACTATAAGATCTAGCACAATGGATTCACAAACACTTACTCCTTCACAAAGGAGACCAAGCACATTGTCCTTTTCCCTTTTGCGGAACATGAGGTCACAGGTGCACTTGCTAGCAGAGCAGCGTCGGTGGGACCGATTTTGGTGAAGACAAAGGATGACAAGACTGAGACACCGATTCAAGACATGGGATACTCATGATAGAGAGCATTTCATGACCTCACAATTAAGATCTTACCACCTTGGCCACCACCATCAAGGAGGTTCAGGTTACC